CGAAAACATTCCAACCAAAGCCTGAGGTATAACTATTTATTACAGCTGCCATCTTGAAGACTTGAGGAAGATCCTAAACCTGCTGTCAAACTAAACATCGTGCCTTACTTATACATGATACGGCTGTGATGGTGCCTGATCAAGCCGAGATTGATGATATCATCGTCTCTACGCCTGACGATTTGCGGCAGCGGATCTGGAAAGCTCCACTCGTTCTCTTCTCTAGCGACGGAAACCGAATATCGAAGGTCAAAGAACCGCTTCCATGTCTTGACAAACTGTTTCAAGCCAGGTCTTTAGTTGCTCTCCTCTTTGACGCCTCGACGCTGGATCAAGGACAGTATAACAGAGTTTGTGAGGCGAACGGCCGAAAAACGCGCCCAAAGACCGCAGTCGTCTTTCTAGAATATCCTCGCGATTGTGTAGCAGCAACTGCGGACTACCTTGATGTACCTCTCTCGGAGGATGGTCTTCAGGGAGCAGTGGTCAAAAACCTACAGTTTTCGCTCATTTCCCACACGCGAAGCTCAACATTCACAACCGTAGAGGGCTGACCGGACGGATGCACGGCACACACGGATCTTCGTGGTGATGGAGACGTCACGTCGGACCCTTAAGCGCTTTCAAACATTTGAAAATTTCGGCGAGCAGTATCGAGTAGGGATACAATGTCGTCCTTTCTTTGTTCATTCGGCAGCAGTCTTGCTCCAAGGTATTTGAAGCTGCCTACTTCTCCAAGTCGACGGCTATTAACCTCTACGGGTGCCTTTATATGGTCAGGGATGCAGCTGGAGAACAATTGAGTCTTCCCAGCATTTATGGACAGGATGACCAAAGTAGCAATTTGATTCATCCGTGACACTACGAACATTAAAGCTTGAGGCTAGCAAGGCAATATCGTTAGCGTAGTCAAGGTCCAAACTCCACACCGTAAAATCGTGTAGGGCTCTTTCGAGAAACTATTCAATGGCGTAGTTGAATAAAATGGGCGACAGGACGCAACCTTGTCCAATAACGGACCAGACATCAAGCGGCTGAAAGAAATTGTTATGAACCAGATCTCGCGCAGTGGTGGAGCGATAGTAGGTTTTCATCGTGAAAATGATTATGGTCGGTACACCATTTAGTTCCATTATTCGTCACAGAGACTCACGATGGACGGAAACGAGCGTAGTCAACCAAGTAGCCAGCACTTG